ATTGGCTATCATTCGCATAAGCGCCCGGCTGATCGACCTCGACCCCTTCGTCCGGGATTTCCGCGTCAGCTTCAACCGTGTCCGGCGACACCACAATAGTATCCCACTGTGACCACACGCGCGCCTCGAGGTCCAGGAGTTCGGCACGCTTCCTCTCCTTCCTATCCAAGCGCGCTTTTTGCTTAGCATACTCCCTCTCAAACAAGAAGTCTGCGTGTTGAGAAAGGTGTAATCCGCCAACCACACTGCGGCACTCACGATAATCGCCATTGACTCTTTGCGCATCCTTAATCCCCGAAAATGGATCGCGAATTTTTCACGGCGAGCCCCCATCTTCTCAAAAATTGCTCTCTTGCCCTCTCTACGAGCACGACGAACTTGCTTCGCGGAAAGCTCCATAACGCTGCAAGAGTTGGCCTCGTACTTCTCCTTCATACGAGAAATCTCTCTTTCAGCCCATTCTTGAGAGTGAAAGGAGTTAGCTTCAATCTCTTCCTTGAGACGAGCAGCCTCCTTTTCTGCCGCTTCAGCTCTAGATTCGGCCTTGCGAATCCCCGCATTGCTCACACTCATAGTTTTGCTCATAGAGCGAAAACCCTATAAATGGGAAAAACGTTCCTGTTACAATCACACGCAAGAGTAATCGCAAGAATCAATGTCCGCATCACCACTGACTTGACCTTCTTGAAAGTTATCGGACCACTGTCCTATGTCGATCAAAGCATCTTTATCCTGCAGAGATCTCGACCTTGATGGGTTCACCTTGAAAGCGAGAAAGGTGGAAGGCGACGGCGCGACGACGCGATGAACTCTCTTCGGAGAGAAGTGTCTCCAATAATACGGACCACCGAGGAGAAGGCTCTTGACCAGATCAAGATCGTCGAGTTTAGGAGTAACGAGACCAGACACTACAAACCAGACGAAGTCAGCACTTTAAAAAAAAATGGAAGAAAAACGTACAATCTACATACCCCTTTTTCCCCATTTGCTCCTGAACATAGGGATGCTGCTTTCCTCTACTAAAGCACGGTCGATTGGAATATAGAATAAAAACTCCTCCCAATCGTGACCATTCGAGGAAAACTTCTCGACGACCGACATATTCGTCTGAGGAGATGCGTAATAATAACCGCGTCTCTTACGCTTGAACGACAGCATAGCCTCAAGATAATCCGCACTAACGTTCATACCACGCTCGTAACCTAACACCAAAATCCCAATAAGATGATGTAAAGCTGAGACTTGAAGTTGGCTGATCGACAATCCAAGCCGATCCAAGAGTTCAACTATGGCCCACGGTATGGGAAACCATAGCTGGCAACTATACAGAAAAGCCTCATAGCATGTAAAGTAACCCGGAGCCGGTGCTTTGCATCTTGGCCATGTTCGGGAAGACGAAACTGCACCGAGTCTGGAACCATCCGAGAACTCCGCATAACGTCGAGGGAACATACGGTACTATGAATCGGACCCTTTTTCCCCTTCGTCGACTTACGCTTAGGAACCCAGAAATTAGCATTGGGGCCTCGGCAGCACGCGCAACTTCCAAATACCTCTCGATCCCCTCTTCATCTGTTGTAAACCTTAAGAATACCGGGGCAGGAAGTATGTTACCACCAGGACACTCGAGATCACTCGGATCGAAGATGGATGGATGACCACTTTCAGAAGCTCTCCCTTCAGTAGACATGCTTGACAAACAAGTGTGGAAAGATAAAGAAAGAAGAGAGAAATTTTTTCTATCTCAAAGAAGATTTATGTGATCTCGGATAAAGGCGCGAAAATGACTAAATCGTAAAACGGCCCGGAAGGTCCTAAAATGCGATAAAGGCCCACTCGCGACTTTGGATAAGGTCCAACCCAAAGGTATAATGATGGTTTGCGTATTATTCGCAGAAGTGGATAAATGTCAAGATTGAAGATAAATAGAAGTTTTCCGAAGAAAAATGGAAAGATCGAGATAAATGGAAGATTGCCGATAAGCACGGATCAAGGCGACAAAGGAAAGACCAAACCGCCTAGAGAAGGAGTATATAAGCAGAAGGTCGAGGACGGAAGCAAGGGACAGATTCAGAACTCTCTTCACACAAACTTAGAGCATTTAGGCAATTTTTCGTTTTCGTTATCGAGCTGCGTCTCAACTAGGGTTTTAGTCTTAGGTTACTAGATCTAGGAAACTCGTCGTCAGCTCTTGTAGCCAAGGCTAATCACGTTGTACCGTTCTTACGCAAAATCGGAATAAGAAACCTCTTTGCTCTCTTTCTATTCTTGTTTTCATTACTATCTTTTGTCGCGTTTTAATTATTTGCGTGTGGTTAAGCAGATAGCCGTGACCTCTGGGAAATTATGGTTTTCCCTAAGTTCCTTTCTTCACGGAAATTGACGGTGTGAATTCCGGTTCCCACAATAGTTATGTTATTACAAACTAAGAGAAATATTATAGACGATTTTACAATCGACAATCTTACCTGTTTTGAGGATTCACGACTGATTGTATCATCTAAGCTGTCCTACCATATCCACCGTAGACAATACTTCTTATGTCATACCAAGATCTTTTGCAAATTTTTTATTCCTTTAATTCACATGATTTTGCTTTTTTTCTGGGATTCAAAACCTAAACTTTCTAATATTGAAATATTAATGAATTATTATTACTCAAATTACTAGATCAAAAGGGCTTCCACAACTATCATTTTGAATATGTATTGCCTTTTTGAGTCATTATAGGTCTAAGATTACATTGGAGAAAAGATCGATCACTTGAAGTAAAACAAAGATTTGGAGATTTCAAAAATGGAGCACCTGGTGACATTATGCAAGTTCACCAGAAGAAAAAAAAAACAACAACAACGATACAGGTTATTGCACTATCGTTTTGGCTGGCAGCCACATGGTACTCCCAGAGTAGCCCACCATTAATAAATCTTATCTCTTTCAGTATGGCTTTGGTCAAACGGTCAATACAATCTTAACTTAGCATTTTTATTTTATTTTCCCCATATTAACTTAGGGGTTGATTGGTTGAGCATTAACATAAGCATTATGCTCTCTATTATCCAATCAACATTTGACAAAGAAACATTTAGAAATCATTTACCAAATGCAAATGCTCTCCAAATGCTCTTTGCTCAATGCTCTCATGTAGAGCTTTTGGGAGAGCATTTGCATATAGAAAATATAAAACTTAATAATATTTATATATAATTAATTTTTATTTTTGTTTAAAAATATAAACAATATTTTTATAATTAAATATAAATTTATATTTAAAAAAATAAAAATAAAAATTATAAATTTTTTTTAAAAGAACATTATTTCACATTTAAAATATAATATAATTTATATAATTACATATATCATTCATTATTTTTAATAACAAACATAACATAATATAATTTATATATTATCGATATAAACATATTATTTAGACACTAATAAATATATTATATATTAACTTTTATGATAATTTTATATACGAGTAATTTAGTGTTCTACCAATAAATAAATAATAATAATTTATATAAAAATTATAATTAATATATATAAATATAATATATATATTTATTTATTTAATAATAATTAATTAAATTATAACTATAATTTTATATATGAGTAATATGTTATATCCAAAAATAATTTAATTTTTTTTAAAAAAAATATAATTTATATAATGAAAATTCATTGTTTTTAATAAATTATATATTATTAATATATATTATATATATTATTTAAAAGAAATATATTATTTTACTAACTATTATAACTATTTTAAAATCGTATACTGCTAATATCTGCCAATCACGTTATTAAGAAAATTAATGAAAGCATACAGCTTCTGTAGCATACTGCTTATGCAGCATACTGCTTATACAGCATACTGCTACTTCTTTATCAACTGTTGTACCAATCGAGGACTTAGTGATGTAACTGTAAAGTTACTAACTAATCTGTTATTCGAAATAAGATAGCACGCGAGCAACATGTGGTTATTGCGTACATAATGGACCTCCTACGACCGACAAATTATTAAACATGGTAAAATTTGATCAGTCTCTATCTATTATTACCAAAATGAATCATTAGTTCTTAACAATATTTCCCCACAATCAGTGTAAATTTGCAATCATCAATTATAAATACGCGTTGGGGAGATAGACTCAATCTATTATTACCAAAATGAATCATTAGTTCGTAACAATAATCCCCACAATCAGTGTAAATTTGCAATCAAATTATAAATACGCGCAATCAAATTATGAAAGCCAGTTTACAAAAAAAAAAAAAAAAAAATTATAAATACGCGTCCGGAGTTAGACTCATCATATGTATATATGTAAAGATAATTGTGGTCTATGTGATCAAAATTTACAGCTCATTCGATGATAAAGCAAATAAATATATATTTCCGGTGGAAAATGTATATAAAAATTGTATTGGTCATACTATAATGGAAAAGTTATCACAATACTATAATCGTATACAATTATTATATATCATTTTTATATTTTTTTCATTTTTTTCTCTTTTCTCTTTGACAACTATTTTTCTAGTTTTATTTTCTTCCAAATTCTCTCAAATTCAAGCTGTTAACGTAAATTTCTGATCACCCAGAAATGATAATATAATAACGTATCTATAAATACAGTAATTTAGTTAATATACAAATATAAAAGTATGAAAAATGTTATTCGAATGTATGATTCTAATTAATATTCAAAAGAGGAAGGTAATTAAGTAATTAACCCTTTGATTGAATGATAATATAGTAACGTATCTATAACTACAGTGATTTAGTTAATATAAAAATATAAAAGTATGAAAAATATTATTCGAATGTATGATTCTAATTAAATGTCAAAAGAGGAAGGTAATTAAGTAATTAACCCTTTGATTGATTATTCTTTCGAGTTTATTTTTCTTCACATTGTGCAAAAATTATAGGCGCGTTGCGCGGCTTTTTCTGGTAAAATAACAGTTAATTATAATAATTAATAATCAATTAGGTGACCTAGAATTATAGCCGTTCTCTTCTGTCTCTATCTCTCTGGGTCGTCTCTTTCCTTTATAGCTTCTACTTTCTCCCACTCCGTACTCCCTTTACCTCAAATCTGATTATGTAAATTCACACAATACAGATTTAAACAATCTTAAACTACATTTTTCGTTGGTGCTGAAGAAAAGCCAAGAAAAAAAGAATGGTTTTGTTCAAGATCTTGCTGGTTCTGTTCTTCGTGAACTCAAGATTCTGCTCAGCTGCAGATCCATACGCTTTCTATAACTTCGAAGTTTCCTACATTACCGCTTCTCCACTTGGTGTTCCTCAACAGGTTTGGTTTCTTCTTCTTTTTTTTTCTAGATCTTGGATTTCTGCAACTGTTTCTTTGGATTTTCAGTTTGGGATTTAAGATTCCGAAGTTGTCTAATCAAAGCTTTAACCTTTTGGATCTTCTTGAAGATTTATCCACATTTACAAAACCCTTAATTCTTGAGATTTACTGTAATTCCAATGAGCTAAAGATCTAACCTTTTAGTTTACCATTAAACTTACAAGAAATTGTTAGTATATTCACAATTAATGGTTTTTTCCCTTCAGATTTTGATAAAAGATTGTATTATTTGTATCAATATTTGAATTTCTGGGTATTTACTTGTGCATTTATCCAATTTTGATAAAAGGGTTTACTTTGTTTAAAATAACCTTAGTTTTAGAGACCCACTGTAGTTCCATTGAGCTAATAAAGATCTAACTTTTATTTTACTAACAATAGTAAAGAAATTTTAGCAACCTTGTAAATCAATTATTTTTTGTCACATTTTGTTACGGTTTGTATCTTTGTTTGTGGCTTAAAAAAATTCAGATATCTCAAAAGTTTCATCCTTTTTTTTTTTGCTTCAGGGCATTACTAAAATCTATCAACAAGAAACGCATTTTTTACTTTTACTTTCCAAAAGATTTTCAATTCTTTTGTGATCGTCAAAGGGTTTTCACCTGAATATATGACAAAAGTTTCAGTCTTTTAACTGTAGATCTAAAAACATCCTAATATTCTCTCTTAATTGGACTGTCAGGTCATTGCTATAAATGGAAAGTTCCCTGGTCCTACAATCAATGTCACGACCAATGAAAACCTGGTCGTGAATGTGAGAAATAAATTAGACGAGGGTCTTCTACTTCACTGGTAAGAGATTCACATTAGTTTGTCTTTTGTGAATCTTTATGTCTGAATGCGTTTTGGTTTTGGGAACAGGTCTGGAATCCAACAGAGACGTGTTTCCTGGCAAGATGGACTTGCGGGAACAAACTGTCCAATCCCACCAAAGTGGAACTGGACTTATGAGTTCCAAGTCAAAGACCAGATTGGTAGCTTCTTCTACTTCCCATCTCTCCATTTCCAAAGAGCCTCCGGTGGTTTTGGTTCCTTCGTTGTCAACCCTAGATCCGTTATTCCAGTCCCTTTCTCAACTCCAGACGGAGATATCACTATTACCATTGGTGATTGGTACACAAGGAACCACACGGTTAGTAATTTATTCGCCGTTTCTTTAACTTGCAACTCAAGCAAACAACATTTTCTTGAAGTTTGTGTGAAAATGTTAGGCTTTGAGGAAGGCTTTAGATGATGGTAAAGATCTTGGAATGCCTGATGGGGTTCTCATTAATGGCAAAGGACCTTACCAATACAATAAGACTCTTGTTCCTGATGGAATCGATTACGAAACCATCACAGTCCATCCTGGTGAGTATCTTTATTTGGATCAAAAAGTCTTTGTTTTGTTTAGGTTTTTAACAAAATGTTGTTCTCTTGTGACAACAACAGGGAGAACTTATAGACTTCGAGTTTCGAATGTGGGAATCTCAACGAGTTTGAACTTTAGGATACAAGGTCACAACTTAGTTCTTGCAGAATCTGAAGGATCCTACACAGTTCAACAAAACTACACAAGCTTGGACATTCATGTTGGACAGTCTTACTCCTTCTTGGTTACTATGGACCAAAACGCAAGCTCTGATTACTACATTGTTGCAAGTGCTCGGATTGTTAATGAAACCATATGGAGAAGAGTCACTGGAGTTGGAATCTTACACTATACCAACTCTAAAGGCAAAGCAACAGGTCACTTACCACCTGGACCACAAGACGAATTTGACAAAACTTTCTCCATGAATCAAGCAAGATCCATCAGGTCAGTAAAATCTTTGTATCAAACCTACAAGATATATTTTTAGCTACATCAAGATTTTGACCTTTGATTGTTGTTGCAGATGGAATGTTTCAGCAAGTGGAGCACGTCCTAACCCACAAGGCTCGTTTAAATACGGTTCCATCAATGTAACCGAAGTGTACGTTCTGAGGAACATGCCGCCTGTGAAGATCAATGGGAAAAGGAGGACAACACTTAGTGGCATATCGTTTGTGAACCCTTCTACACCTATAAGACTAGCTGATAAGCATAAGGTGAAAGGAGTTTATAAGCTTGATTTCCCTAAGAGACCTTTAACTGGACCACCTAGAAGAGAGACTTCCATTATCAATGGCACTTACCGCGGATTCATGGAAGTCATTCTTCAGAACAATGACACTAAAATGCAAAGCTATCACATGAGTGGCTATGCCTTCTTTGCTGTCGGGTAAGTTAGTTAGTTAGGTCCCTTCATTTATGTCATAAAGTTTCTGCGTTTGTCTTAATGAGATCCTTTTGGTTGCAGAATGGATTATGGAGAGTGGACAGAGAACAGTAGAGGTACTTACAACAAATGGGACGGTATTGCACGCTCAACTATTCAGGTAGTAACTCAGCCCCTTATACAACAAAAGACAGTTTTGGTTCAGATACAATAGTTCTAACTGCATTACGTTTTTCTTTTTGTAGGTGTATCCAGGGGCATGGTCAGCGATCTTGATATCTTTGGACAATCCTGGAGCTTGGAATCTAAGAACAGAGAATCTTGATTCTTGGTACCTTGGACAAGAAACATACGTGAGAGTTGTTAATCCAGATGAAAACAACAAAACCGAGTTCGGGGCACCTGCAAATGTCCTATACTGTGGTGCTCTCAGCAAGTTACAAAAGTAAGAAACTTCAAAAAAGCACATTTTCTTCTTGAAGTTAGGTTTTTATTATTATTATTATTTTTTTGTTTCCTATCAGGCCCCAGAAGATATCATCATCAGCGACGAGGAGCATTGGATTCACGAATCTTTCAATGGTAGTGATGGCTTTCGTGATGATGCTTCTGCCTTGAAGTGTAATTTGAGGGTTTGTAATTCTTCTAGGGCTTGTTGATATCGAACCAGGGATGATGATTCTTGTTCTTTACGTTTCCCCATAGTTCTATTTCTGACTTGTTTTGTTTTTGTTTTTTAATCCTATCTGTTGTTTTATTCTTTTTCCGGGACTCTGAGAAGAACACAAAAAGTATTCATGAAAATGTCGAAATCTTTATAGGCCCTGTTTGTCATTATCTTATTTTTCATACCAAAATTCACAATTTCAAATGATATGTTTATTGAATAGAAAAAGAAATGAAAGGATATGAGGTCCCTAGATGATGAAGAGTGAGGTGGAAAGAATATAGTATATCTTTTTTTTTTTTTTGTTGGATCTCAGCTTTTTCTCTGACAAATCCCAGCTGGTTTCTTTCTGTATTTTGCATTTATTTTCTCTCTTTGTCCCTGCTTTTATTTTCTCCTCTTGCCAATTTTGAAAATGTAAAAGATAAAAATATTTTGTCTATGATAATTTTATTGGTGTTGTACATGATGACAAGTAAGAAACATCCACCCAAAAAAATCTGACATACTGTGATATCTAGGGTCAAGATGAAGAATCAAAGTAAGGAGGAGCCAAGTAGTTCTTTGCTGGAAAACACCGGATGGTTCAAAGTCTTTGATCTTTTAAGAGGTGAGGATGTGATTCATGGTAACTCGATAGCATAGATATTAGTGAATTAGATCCGGATATGCTAGGATATATGAATGACTAATGTGTTTTATGGAAAGTTCGTTCTTCGTTCTTTGAAGTGATCTTCAGGGATCGAAGAACGTTATTCCCATTCTTAGGATATGACTTACTAGATTGTGTGTATTGATAGTAAAATGAATGAGAATGTTTATGTGAATACGTTAGGATTTGATCTAGAAATGAATAGCATGTTAAAAAGAAATCGGTTAAGATAAAAAGTAATTAAGAAAAATATGAGATTAAGCAAATGATCAAACTATATAAAATATACTTTTCTTCCCTTTAGGGAGGCCACGTCATCAATTAGAGGGAAGAGAAAGCAACACGTGGCAATGACTTAATTTGGGCCGATTGAGAGTTTTATTGGGCTCCTCTATATTTGCATCTTCATCACTCAGAAACTTATTTATTTATCAATATACAATTGGGCCAACAAATATATGTGATGGAGGCGTAAGAATGTATAATGAAAAGAAATCTACACTCAATCTTCATATCTTTCGACGACGGAGCTGGTAATGTCGTTTATGTTTCAGCGACTCACTCTTATGGCACGACAGCGTAACTGTCAGACGATTCATTCAACCAAAGGCATTTAAACCCCCACCGACCTACTCCTCCCACTAGGTGTAATTTAATACACTCTCACTTCACTCAATCTATACCTATAAATAAGAGTGCTCAGTTCTGTTTGATTCATAAATTTCTTCTTTTCATGCATTATAATACCCAGAAACTTCTCATTCTCACCAAGAATGGCCGATTCATCGATTTTTTTAGCCCACTTGAAAGTTGACTGCTGCTTCAAGTTACTCGATCTCACCAAGAATGGTCGTCGTCTTATCATCTAATCGATCTCTATAGCCGACTATAGATACCACGCTGCTGTTTTCACTGTAAATTATTTTATTTTTTTTGTAAAAGGGCCTGTAAATTATTATTTGACAGACATTTTTGATGAATTGACTGAGATCAAGAGCACATTTAATGAATACTCACAGAGAAAAGAACGTGTGATGGCGACCATTAACATTCGGAGGTTAGTCTCACTGTCATACTAAAACAATTCTTCATTGATTCCCCTCAAAAACACTGAAATGATTAACTATATATTCTTTAACTTTCATGTTCTAACCCAGCCTCATAAGAATATCTGTTGGTCTGCTCTGAAACGTAACTTCTAAGTCGATGCCCTTTCAGTTGCACCTTTGGTTATGCAGTAACAGTTACTTGACTACAATACTTGGAGTGGACATTAACGGTTACTTGGCAAGTCATGTGCCCTTCTCACATGTTAATTACTCATCTCTCTCATATTGTGTTTCTTTTATTTTTGTTATTATTATTTTTTGTTCATAATTCTGTTTCTTTTAAAGATTCAAATTTCTGTGAATATATAATCAATTTTTTTTTTGTATATAATGTTGTTATGTAGTGCTTGCGGGAATGGAGAGATATGCATTTAAAGGAGTATCAAACTTGGTGACATATATAACAAATGTAGTGAATATGAGTAATTAAAGAGCAGAGAGGACAGTCGACACTTGACTGGTTTTACTTCTATGTTGCATCTCTTCACTGCTCCTTTGCTGATGCGTATTAGGATAAATTCTTCACTATCCTTGCTACTTCTTCTGCAACTTTGTGGTTTCAATCTTTTACATTAAAATATATCTATGTACATATATGCGTCTACTCATGCATGTATATTAATGTTGAAAATCTCTTTTATCGTCGAGTATATTTATCCAATGAAATTTGGTTGTTTGCCTATCTTATGATGAGTTATCATTTTTCCAGCATTCGTCTATTATTGAACTATTTGGTTAATAATCCATCATGTAGTGACCAAGTGATGATGTGCACTAAGTAGTATTTAAACAAATGGTTTTAGACGGTTTTAACTTAAAATTTTGAAAGTGACAATATGTGCTAAGTAGTTTTTGAAAAGTTGATGGCGGTGGTGGAAAATGACGATGGTGATGGCTTTGGAAGAAACAATGGTGAAGATAAACATAATCGGTGGTGACGTATAAATTATCAGTTGTCTTCTCCAAAAAGTTAAATCTGAAAGAGGAGATGAAAACATCAAGCTAAATGATGGACACAATAAGAGAATAGAAAAAACGAAAAGAAGAGAAACTTGCTGAAGAAAAGAAAGGTTGAGATCTCATCTCATGAGTTAATGTAGATGTCATATTTATAAGGAAATAATATACGATCGATGACGGAAACGAAAAAGAAATATAAAAGATAATTCAGATAATCTTTTAGAAAAAACATTTAGAATTTCTTTTGCGAAAAAACAAAAGTTGCCTAATTATATTACATGCAATTATATTCCTTTATTAATAATATTAAAATTCTATATTTGGTTTGTAAGTTTGGCTAGCTGTAATAAAATTACAAACATGTCAATATCAAATAAGCTATATGTTTTACTATCCGTTTAGCTAAGTTAATTTCAATTTTTTTGAAAAAAACTTAATATTTGAAACTCATTAAGAAAACAAACGCATTCTAACTATTTACTAAATTAGTAGGATTACTTACAAAAACAAGTAGACTATTATGATTTGTTTGAAATCATCTAAGATGTGTGTACTCAAAAACATGATTATATGGTAATTTTAAGATATATTTTCCTTATAGATATTTTTTTAGCATATCAACAATACATTTGGCTCTGCTAGACAATCTAGAAAAAATAAAAATATAGAAAAATGACTAAAAATTCAATTTTAAAAAATGAGATGGATTTTAAACCTTTAAAATAATTTCTAGTTTCCAGTTAAAAAAATTGAAGAAAAGAAAAGTTGAAGATCTCAAGAGTTAATGTAGATGTCAGATCTATAAGGAAATAATATACGATCGATGACGGAAAAGAAAAAGAAATAAAAAAGATAATTCAGAAAAGATCGAAGTATAAGGAAATATTTGAAGAAGTTAAAGAAAACATTTGACAAAACTGAAGGAAGAAGATTGTAGGGGAAGAGTAAAAAGGGAAATAGAGAAGAAAATAAAAGAAGTTAAAGGAAATTATATTTTTAGAAATTCTAAATCTACTTTTATAATAACAATTAAACGGTTGTACATTTAAAAATATTGTATATCAAAATTTATATAAATAAGATAAATAATATTTAGATAATGGATCCGATTAGGTGGGTTGTAATTTATTTTTTGTAAAGAATTTAGTTTGTAATGTTTTAGTGATGTAGATAATATTACAACTATTATCAGCTGATTAAAGAGAAAAAAAACCATAAAATAAGAGTTGTAAATTTAGGAGGATGGTTCATTAAATTAGTTTAAAAATAATTAAAAAGAAAAGTTACAAAAAGTTTTGAGTGAAATGAATATGTCTACAATTCATCAATTAAATACCTTAACTAAAATTTAATTAATTATTGATCATTTTGTTCATCATCTTATATATAATTTTGAATAGCAAAATTCTTTTGGATATTAACCATTTTGATTTACGTAATACAAAAAATAAATTATTTAATAATAGTCTATCTACTATATTTTATAATAAGTTATAATATTTATATATTAAAATAAATATGCTAAATATATAATCAAAATTAAAAATTTGATAAAAATCCTTCGGGCGTAGCCCGGGCCGACCCTAGTAAAAAATAAGATAAGTATGTTTTGGCTTTGGGCCGTAAAGGATGATATGAACGTTTTGGCTTTGGACCGTAAGGGATGATATGATTGTTTTGGCTTCGGGCCGTATGTTGCCTTCTGCTGTGATGGACTGACATGGTCGAGTGGATTTGGGCAGTATGAGTGACTGACGGGTCGAGTATGATACCTATAGGTCAAGTATGTTTGGCTTCGGACCGCCAGTGACGTTTAGGATCGAGAACGAGTATAATGGATAAAGGAAGGGAAATGCATAAAAATATATAAGTAAAGATAAATGGCAGTTCAAAAAAAATGATTTAAGTATAAAGATAAAATGGAATGCTAAGTTGATAAAACGGATTGGAATGAAGGTTGCTAGAATAAAACGGAATGTTAGGATACTAGCATGGAATGGAATGTTAGGATGCTAGAATAAAATGGAAAGCTAGGTTGCTAGAATGAAATGGGATGTTAGGATGCTAGTACGGAATGGAACGTTAAGATGCTAGAATGAATCGGAATGTTAGGATGCTAGTACGGAATGAAAGGTTAGGATGCTAGAATGAAGTGAAATGCTAGGTTGTTAGAATGAAATGGAGTGCTAGGTTGCTAGAATGGAATGAAACGCTAAGTTGCTAGATGTTATGGGCTGTATGTGGGCAGTTTTAAGCATTCTCTTTGAGTATTTTTGTATGCTGATGCCTCCTTATATGATGCAGATAATTTTTTATTGTATGTACCGGAGTGTGAGACTGTAAAGACCATCGGAAAAGAGTGTTTTAATTTGGGATAATGTTTTAGGAGTTTTGATGAAACTGTCTTATTGTACCAATATGGTTTTTTAAGTATCTGCTCTTGAATTTAATTACAAAGTCGCAATATTTCTTCGTACTCCTCCTTTGAATTTGTCAGATGTTTACTTGAAAATTTTTAACGCGTTTTTCAAATATTTCTGGATCGGGTATTTCAGTTTCCCTGCAATTGGAAGATCATCAATTTGCATGAATCTTATAATACATATGGAAAAGATAAACAATAATGTTTTTAACAATTGGGATATTGACTTTAGAGATACTC